ATAATATATGACACAGCACATCTTTATCCAACATTTCTATTTTTTACTCTGTTGAGTGTTTATTAATTCACACCAGTTATAACCACAGTCACAATCCAGCACTTGTGTTGCAAGATTTTAATGCTGTATTCAGATTTAAGTTGATAACACCCCTTTAGAACCAAGAAAGTTATCAATTTTGCCCCAAGATTTTTCTAGTCTTAACCATGCAAGAAATCACTTTCAAAAGTTATTCAGAAAATTAAGTGTAAGGGGGGAACTCACACAGCTACCAAGGGCATTATAAAGCTATTGTGCTCCCTTTTGTGAGTATTGAAGTTATTTTAAATAAAACATATAAAATGATTTCTCATTGCCACACTACATTATGTAACACTTTGCTTTACCATTGAAGCCCATCCTTTTAATTCTCTCCTGGAAAAGCAAACAATGCATCGTTTTGAATCACTCAGATGTACTGTGGCAATGGCTTTGTTTCAACAGTGACTGCTGCTATAAATGACTTTTCCAGAACTTTGTGGCATCCAAAGAATACCTAACAAGATCTATTTGCTTGCAGTAGTATTAACACATTCATCCCTGTGCTGTATGCATGAGTGGCCTCTGTTTGCTTCAGGAAATGACTGAAGGTTTAGGAAGTTACCCCAATGCAAGTGTCTGGAGACCTGTACCCAGTACATTGGAAGCACTGGATGCAGAGTTGTTGGTAGAAATTAAGACAAAATCAATCTGAGCTTTGATCTTCCCAATCCCCTTTATTCTTTCCAGACTTCAGGCACAGTGGTTCTATAGAACCCTCCCAAGAGCTGTGCTTCAGCCACCTACCCAGTGCTGCCTGAGGTCTCCTAGAGCAGTCCTCACTCCAGCCTACTACTGCCACTCTAAGCTCACCCAATTTTGTTCATTTTCCTCTTCTAAATTGTTTGGGGTTTGGGGTTTTTTCCCCCCATGTTTGACTGACTTCAGCCTTCTACACCCTTTGAATTAGGATGAAACACACGGGCTACAATTTTTCTTCCTCCTTGCTGTGGCTATTCCATTGTTCCTTTACCTTTTTCTCTCTTCTGTACTTTCTGCACTAGCCTGCCCACCCCATACCTTAATCTCTTCTCAGTAATCTCCTTGCTTCACCTTTTCTGCAGTGCCTTCTTTTAGGCCGAGCCTTATGCAGGAACCAGCGTCCCAGTCCTGGTTTCTCAAAGTCCTGTCTTCATCAAATCCACTTCTTATCCAAATCTTTTAACTGATATCCAGCAGCCTTCCAAACCTCCTCTCACCAAGCTATTGCTCCTTGCATAACCTCCATCATTTCAATTAAGGTAATAAGTTCTCCTTTCCAGTGTACAAAAAGCAGTGAAGGCTTGTAAATGCCCCAGGGCCTTGTGAATGTATTAACAGATTCACAACATTATTGGGGTTGCCTACATCTGACAACAGAACTTTGAACATAAAGGAGCAAAACATGAAATGAGTTAATATATGGAAGAATTTAGAAAAAGACTGAAGCTGAAAACCATTCCCAGTAAAATGGACACCAGAAATAAATCTCACAACTAGCTTCAATAAAGATTCTTGTTTTAGAGGCAAACTGTAGACCAGCTGTAAACTCCAAACAAGCCCTGTGACACTATGATGCATTAAGCATCAGGATGACGAGTCTGCTTTTTTTCTTCAGCACAACCAAGTTTGCATATGTGCCCTCCTCTCCTTCTGCACTGGATGTCTTTAGAAGAGGTTTGCTAAATTTAATCTACAGTTGTAGACCAATAAAACCTCCACTGCAAAACCTCCCAATGGAGGAACATTATTGTCTAAGATAGTAACTTTGAAGTTTTAAGTGTGACAAAATAATGAACCAGTTCTGCCTGTGGGGAGATGACATGGTGACACTTCTGTAAGAAAGTTACATCAGCTACCAAAGTAAAAGGTATTAGCACCATTAAACATATTTCAGCGCACCTAAGGTATTTCACTACACCTTGTATTGTGTAAAATGTAGTCTTGTAGCAACATCAGCAGGGCTGAATAAACAATGTCTTCTGCATGCTAGCCAAAACATGAGCCTTAGCCCAAGTCACCAGATGTGGGTTTTAGAGGAGCATCAAGGCTGTCTGTGGCCAGAGAGGAAATTCAGCCTGTGCTACATTCAAGTTTAATCTCATCTACCTGCACTGACACTGTGCATTTAAGCCAGGCTTTTCTCAAGAGTTTCCTGCATAGCCCATAAAAACAACTGGCAGCATCAGCTGGCCATCACCAGGGAGCAAGCTGGCCATGCTCACCCCTACAGGCACTTGATGCAAAGGGCTGCAAATGGCTGCAGGCACCAGAGCTACAATTTTGCCCAGTGCATTCATTTTTCACTTAGAGGATTAATCTTAGATTTCATCTGTAAACAATAAACAAAGCCTGAGTGTTATTTATGACACACTATCCTGTCAGGAGGGGGGCATGAGGACTGGCTAGCATTTAGCATGGCTTTCTAAGGGACAGCACCTGCTGTGAAAAGGACTTGGTCCTTTCATGTTTCATGAGATCAGCTGAGCAAGACAGACCAAAGCAACACTGGCAAGATGTTTAGTGCAAAACATCCTGCCACTGCTACCTCTTTGTAACAGAATGTAGTTCAATATTAACAATATCTGAAACAATCTGCTTTATCCAATTAGATTTTATTTTAATTTAAAAAATCAAATGGTTCTTTCAATATAGTTATCATATGAAAATGGTAGAAAGTTTGCTGCGCACCAGTTGATACCACCCTTGTTCCACTGAGTGCAGCTGGATTCAACTTGTCCATTCCACTTCTCACTCACTCTGCTTATAATCTGGTTCTCCAAGAATTTTAGTTTTCTGGGACAGGTTGCAAGTAGGACAGAAGTAGTAGAAACACTCACATGACACTGAAAAAAGCTTAGGATTATTTAAATTTTTTTAGTCTCAGAACTGAGATACCAAAATGGGATGGATGTGTGAGTACACTTTAGTTGTGTCTAAAGTGAATTAGTAAATTTTGCAATGAAAACTGGAAATTAGTAGCTGGATGCATGGATGATGGCATTCAATGGGTTGCCATACGCTGTGGGACACATCTTTTGAAGGAGATTTTAATCGACTCAAAAGACAATATGGCAACTGGCAGGCTTTTACTTTATTGAAGCAAAGTCACAGCATTTTCAGCACTATTCCCCTCTTGTGAAGGGAAGAGTTAAACGAAGGCCCCTGAAATTTACATAACTAACAAGTAAAGGATTGAAGAAAGAGATTACAAGCATATTTCTCTAAAATAAATAATCTACAAAGAGTGCTTTTTCTTCTTAAAAGCAATCTAAAAATGTAAAAATTCTACAGTAAGGAGATCAAAAGATATTTTAACAACTTTCAATATTTACAAACAATACAAAAACTGCGCATGCCATCAAATGATGCAAAATTCTTATTAAAAATTAAAAGCTTCATTCCTACCAAGAACCAAAAACTCCAGCCAATATTTCAGTTTTAATTAATGGTCTTCTTTACAATTGGAAAACCGTTAAATGTTCTTATTATCTGTAAAATATACAATAAAAACGAACCTCACTAAATTATTAAGGTTAAAAAAGAAGAGCAATACTGCAGGCAAATCAAAAAGGAAAGCGTAACTTATTCTTTGGTAACCGAAAGTTAGCAAGTATCTGTATTTCAAGTGATACAAAGTAATAGTCTCCCCATTTTGACAAATGAAAGACAGATTTCCGGCAAAACACAATTCCCAAGTTTCAGTTTTGAAAGACGGGCTCCACCTACAGCTTTGTAGTGCAAGTCAAATTTCTCTTTCTAATTCAGAAACACAGCTGTCCTGGTTCCGGCCAGGACAGGGTTCATTTTCTGCAGCAGCCAGGAGGGGCCGTGGCCAGGACACAGAGGTTATTCTACACCACCTCACAACACTGCTGGGAACAAGGAAGAGGGGCAGCAGGTCACACCTTACCAGGCTCTGTCACCTGTGAGCCATTCACCTTTTTTGTGCGCACTCTAATCGTTGTCACTGTTACTGTCCATTTTCTTACTTCACTGTTGTTTCCAGTAAATTTTTATTTTATCAGCCCCCAACTTTCAACTTTTGTGCCTCTAATTCTCCTCCCCAGCCACCCGCAGAGGTACGAGGAGAGGGGAGTGAGTGAGCGGGTACATGGTTTGGAGTGTTTTGGTGGAACACTAAATTGGGGATTACTATTCCTAAACCATGACCCTTCCAAATTCTGGCTTCATTCATCTCCCACTTTCCTGATGTCTGTGTGCACCCTCCACACACATCCAGCTGTTCTAGCTCTCTAAGGGAATACTCCAGTCAAGGAAGCAATTCACCTGGAAATGTGTGTTTCACCAAGTGAAGGTGTGTGGCTGCACAGCAGCCAGTAGTGTGTTATAAAATCAGCTCCCCTTTCCACCTTAACTACACAGTTCATTTTCCCTCAAGAAAAAGAATTAAAAGTACAGTACCCTGGACCAATCCATAACCTGGTGAGCTCACTGCTCAAGCAGGACATGCTTCATCAAACGCTGGGCCATACCCCTCTAAGGAGCCATGTAACCCCAGCATCAACCCTGCTACCTTCTCTCAGAGGTGAATGTGCCTCATTGTGCCTCCCTCTGCTCAATGAATGCACTACGCTGCATCACTACAATGCTTTTGAACCAAATGTCCAGCTTGTACCACAGGAGCCTTCCCATTTCAGGCTTATTCCTAAATTTTGCTTGCACAATTGCAGTCTTAAGAAAAAGAAAAACTTCACACCCCTACAGACTCTGAGAAAACTTCCCCACCCCACCCCACAAGAGAACTTCTAAGGCTTTACATAAAAAATTCAACTGTTAACATTCTTCAAGCCACAGACCACTCATTCAAAGCAAGTGCTCCCCACCCTAACCCAACCATGCAGAACCATCGTCGCTTTAGCATTTAAACATACACATGCAGTTCGTGGAATAAATGCTCAGCAAAGTAACCTTGTCCTGGTCTGGGCTTTCTTCTGGAATCTAGTCCCTGTAATTTTCTAGACTAATATCCAATGCCTTTTGTCACCCTGCCTTTTAACTTTCTTCAGCTGAAGAGTTTAGATACTTCCTTGAAGCACCTGGTTGAGTCATTAAGTCTACATGGGCTGGATCCAAGGTCTCCTTGCAGCCTGCCTCCTCAGCATACGGGAAGTCATTCATGTCCATTTCATCACTGGTAAACATATCAAGCTGCCCCTCTTGCTGCTCTTCCAAAGTCCTCCGGACCCTGCCCTCGGACTGTTCCACCACTTCCCCATCTCCTTCACTAATGACAGTCATGGGGCTGCTCTGGATGCGGTTGCGGACGTTGTACTTGCTGCTGGCAGCAGACGGGGGTGTCCGTGACCGGCCGTACCTCGTGCCAGAGAAGGACATGCTCCTTGGCATCAGGCCCTCACTCCTGGCCCACTCCTCCTGGGCCCGTCTGCTCTTGCTGGGCGAGCAGCTGGCAGGGCTGTCGGAAAGGTCAGGGGGGGCGTCCGTCTTTGGCCGGTGGAACCGCGGGTCCGTGTTCTTCAACATCTCTGCTGCAGACATACGGGAACTGGTGTCACAGCGACTCCCTTTCTTCAGCAGCAGGGCTTTGAAGTTGTCATTGCTGGTGCTGCTCTTGCGGACGCTTCTCTGGATAGATCCGGCTTGTTTAAGGGTAGCTAGGTTTGGGGAAGCACCAGTGGGAGTTACGGGGGGCGACGGAGAATGGTTGCGGGTACGGTCGTCTTCAGAATCTTTACGGCCAAGGACTTTCCTTTTGGATCTGAGTTTGAAACACACACACAAAAAAAGAGGATGACACAAAAACGAAAATTTTTACCTCCTCTAATGAAACTCAGTTTAGAGCGATGACAATGAATTTAAGCTAAAGCAGAGACAGGGAAAAGGGAGAAGTGATCTAAATCTAAAGCATGAGTAAGAACACCACCAGAACTGTACAGGCACTAATGCAGGTATTGAAGGTATAAGTTTATTACTCTTTTTCTGCAAATCTGGAACAATGAAACTACTAAAACTGGCAATACTGATGTTCAAAACACTTTAGTAAATTTAGTGAATCGGGTTTTCTGGAGTCAATATTCAACTGCTCAGACTGATGTGCTGTAAGAATTTATACTCCATGCTGTTTTTCTGTTAATTTGGGGACTTGATTCAAAATATGTCTAATCTAGAGTATGTTTTGTTTTATTTCGTTTAATTTTACAATTTGACACTCTCTGGAGAATTTGAGGTGTAGTTTAGTGCACTTTCCTTCAGAAAAAAGGACACAGCAAAGCACTGCTGCTGAAGATGGAGCAAAGGGAGCCACATGTAACAATTCTAAATTAAATTATTGAAAAACCCCGTCCCTAATCCAAATATTAAATAAATAGAGAAAAAACCTTTCCCGCTCCTCTCAATATGCACAGATAAAATTCACAGTTATGTTGGTGCTCTGTCATTGCAACTTTCAACTAAATGAAGGAGAGACCAACTTCCTGACAAGAAAGTTATCTTTCCAAATGAAAGAGCTTGTCTATTTAGATGTGAAGTGCAGGGACAAAACACACACAAAAAAAATTAAGAGATAACCATGGAACTGGGAATATGTGGAAACTGGACTTTTACTGCCTCATTTTCACATTTCTAGAAATCTTAAAAGAAATGTACATGCCTGGTAGCTATAATACAGCTGCTTTGTTTCTTTGCTGACTGAGCAAGAATTAATTAAAAAGGATTGTATAAAGCCTAATTTTAAATATGGTATTTTGGCAGAAGTTTAGAACAAGTCAACAGACTTCTCAGAGATATAAAATTATCATCCTATAAACTCCATATTAATTTTTATCAAGCATGTGTTCAACCCAGACCATTCCCCTTGTAAAACAGATTTCTACTTAATGTGATCTTTAGCTTTACTTTCTTAAAAGCCTTGAGATTTTGCCAAGGCAAGCTAAATGTGTTCATGCATCGCAGCCTACTGATAATTAAAAAACCCCTGAAAACAAAGAAGCAGGATCCATCAGCTGAGTAGGTGGCAGCAACAGACACTGCTATAGGCTGTGCCAAGACTTTGGAGCAATCCAGTCTCTCCCCTAAGTGGTGAAGTTTATGCATAGCTCACTTGTGATGCCCCCACAGGCAGCTGCACCAGCTGTTATTTTCAGCAGCTGCTGCTGCCTCCACCTGTCCTTCTGGAACAAGAATGTAATACCAATGTCCATTCAGCCTGAGAGTGAATGGACACAGAAGACAGCAAAGAGATAGAATGATGACTTCAGGAGCAGCCAATGTGGGAACCTCATCTAGATTTAACTGTGTCTTAGTGCTGTAGGCAGCAGATGATTTTGGTGCTCGGATGCTCTGCAAGTCTGTATGTGAACACTTGTGTGCATTTGTTACAGGGAAAAGATTTTCCTTCATTACGGTTTTGGCTGCCTGTGGGTATCTTTAAACACTGCAGTGCTGGGGCTGTACTGTTACCAAACCCCAAATTAAACTTAAAAAAAGAAAAAATCAGTTGCAAAGATCTGCACGGAAAGACTATTATTGCAGCTTGGAGTGATCTGGTAAGACTGTGAATGCAGTGCAGAGCAGTCAGCTTGCTGTCAGCACCTAGCCAGCTTTTCTCAATATGTATGAATTATGGAAGAAACTTGAAATTAGGAACCAAATTTGGTTTTGGTGGCTTTTCAGACACAGACAGGGTATATGTTCAAACAAAACTATGACTTAAAACTTTGGATTGTTCTTCCTGTCCTTAATGCACATACACTAAATTTCTTATCTTGCTCCAAATTATATATTCAAGAGTGCCAATTACTGAAGTAATATCTCTTAGAAACAGTGGGGGAAAACCAAAACTTTTTTTACTAATTAGCAACCAAGGAAGAAAGTGGTTAAAGTCCAAAGCCAGCAAAAGCAAGGTCATAATAAAAAAATGTGTCAAGCAGTTCCAAGTATGTCACATCTGTCACATCCAGTTCCATTGTCCACTTCCCCACGAACTAATGAATTACAAATATGTGCGTATCACAGAAATCCACTCTCTATCTGCATACACAAAGGAGAATGGCTACTGGCCAGAATACCTCATTCTAAAGCCAGATTTGACACTGCTCTAGAGAGTGCCATGCAACATGAATGCAACAGACCGTTTTCAGAATGGCTCATACAGGCCAAGTCCTAAGGGCTAACAGTAAATTATAAAAAGTCAGTATCATATATATATAGTTTTTGTAAGGTCTGGAAAAGACTTGTTTAAAAAAATGAAAAAAACAGAGTATCTGCATCCAGAATGCTGCAGCCTCCCAGCCGCTCTCTTCCCGTCTCTCATTCCCGATGCACAGATGTGCAGACCGAGTGAACACCTGGATAATTCCCCACTCCCGGGCAGGGAGGCGGCCCCTCTGCGGCTGGCAGAGCGCGGCGCAGCCACGAGATGGCGCTGGCGCCACGCCCAGCCCGGCCCAGCCCGGGCGGCTCCGGGAGCGCCGCTCCAAGGGACCCGCGCTCCGGGCTCTGCCTTTAGGGCTCCTGTCCTTGGGGCTTCCTTGGGCTTTCTTCTTCCTGAGCACCTAACGTGAACAGCACATAAATCTAGCTGCCATTCGGCAGGATTTTGTTCTCAAGGGAAATGAATAATGCCACTAACAATAGAGCCAGTACTGCACATTCCATTCATGAACCAGTTTGACACAAAATACCCGACCTCAGGCTGGATTATGGCAAACTATAATCCAGCGTTTGCCATATGTTTTGCCATATGACTGACATGTTGCGTTACTTGCCAGTTTCAGCCACGCTTGCCATGAAGCATTAGCGTTGAGCCTCTGTCCCAAACTGCACCATATAAGCAGCGAAGAGAGTAAAAAGAGATGGAGAAGAACGAGAATGAAAACAAAAAGATACACAGAAAAAGCAACAGTAGAGTTAATATGGCAGATTGAGAACAGTACAATAAATACTAGACGTAAATTGATATTTTAAAGGGCAAGGTATTTACAATATAATCTACATCCATTTAATCTAGTTGGGTTTAGTTCAGAATGGATTAAATACATTTATAAAACAATAATATGCAAGTTCTTTTCCTCATCTTTTTCACATATAGCCTTAGTAGAAAGTTGATAAATACGTGCTTTCTGTTAAAGCCATGACTGTAGTAATTGGGTATTCAACAAAACAATGTTGAATTTATTTCTGAGAGACCTACCGGACCTGACAGTAGAGGAAGAGCAGTTTCTACAGTACCTGTGAATGGCTGCAAAAAGATCCTCAGTGGTCCTTGGTCTTGCTGGTGTTGCCACTCCATCTGTCTCTTCCCCATAACTACTGCTTGGCAGGAATGAACTACTGGCTGTGTCTGATTCAAACACCTCCACTATGCAAAGAGAACGAACAACACAGTCAGTCTGTTGTGCGAACCCCCCGGGCACACAGTCCTGAAATCAGCTCTTGCTGCCTCCAAGGAGAAGCATCCGATGGACTGAGTGAGTGCAGCGCTGTCATTATTGTGATTTCAGATCAATGCTTGCTTAGGGAACTGCAGTGCATGAAATACATGCCTGTGCTTGCTCACGCCTCACAGGCGGAGAACAGTAACAAAAGAAAATTTGTAGCATTTCCACTAAAATGCAAAATCAGTATTAACAAATTAACTGCTTTTACAGCATGCTTTAATACTAGCGTGGTTAAATAAAGCATCATTTTCTTTCCATGTCTGCAACAATAAGAAGTCAGAAAGGAATTGTATGAAATGTCATACAATATTAATCAGATCCCTGCAACTTTCTTTTTTTGTTTTAGTTGTAACAATCACAAGAAGATCTGCCTTCTACAGAATGCCACCTCAGTGCTAGGATCCCCACCTTCTTCAAAATAGCTACTGCTGCATCTGAATTAGTCAGAGAAAAGAGACTCACCACTTTCGTTCTCTTGAGATGGGTGCCCGTCAGTGTTACTGCCACTGTCTTGGCTGCTGCCTGAACTGCTTCCTTCATCAAAAGCAGACTGCTCCTCCTGCCTGGGTTCCTCTTGAACTGGTGATGCAGCAGGCTGTACCACAAAGGCATTCGCTCCCACTGTCTCAGAGAAGGTGAATCCAGCAGCTCCTCCCTCAGGAACCAGGCTGCCAGAGTCCATCTCGCTAGAACCGAGTCCATCTGTAAGACAATTTCTCGCCTCCTCAGAGTGTGCAAGCACAGCGTCTCTCTTAGTTGGGCTTCTGGCAGTATCACCCACTTCAGCTGCTTTCTCCACTGTAAGGTCTAACTGTGGAGGTGGAACCAAAAGGAACAGTTTGGGTTTCTTTGAAATAGGAGGTGGTTTCTTGCTTGGCAATACACCCTGAGTCTTGTCAGGAGATGCTGATGACCCCTGAAGTGACATGCCAGAAGGGAGGTCTTCACTCTGCACTGAGGACTCAGGTGTGTCATCAGTGGCTGACCCCAGAGCATCATCTTCAGAAGATTTCTTTGCACCCACTGCACTCACAGGCTTTTGATCACTGTCAAGTACAGGTGCGTTATCAGAGAGAATGAGAGGAGAACCCCGAGACAGTGTTTGAATTGCATTTTTAAATGAGGTGCCTTGAGTTTTCACTTCCTCATTGCCTACGCTGGTACTGAGTTTTAGTGAGAGAGATGGCTTTATCAAAGACTGTGATGATGAATTTACAGTACCCTTTTCCTGAGAGGTGGTTTCAGAAGCAGATTCAGTTGATGATTCACCTTCTGTTGATTTTTTCACAGACCTCAACTGCACCATTTGCAGTGCTTTGGTGGTTACTAATGGCATCACAGGTCTTGATGAATCTTGCCTGTTGAGTGGCTGTTTCACTGGACTGTACCAAGAATCTTCCTGGTTGCGTTTCTTAAAAGAATACTGTGGGTATATTGCTGCACCTTTTGTTATTTTGGGATCAAGTGGTGGTGCTGGTGGTGGGACGGCCAAGGGGCAAGAAGGAGGAGGAGCAACAGGGGAAGAGAATGAACTGATGGAGGCTTCTTGAGGAAACCATGGGACAGTCTGGGCAAAGGTAGAACTTACACTGGCTTCTGGTGGAGGAGGGGGGAACGTGGGAGAGGTCGACAATGGTGAGAGATCCATTACTTCTGCTGGAGGAGGAGGAGGAGGAGGAGAAAGTTCAGGGCAATGCTGAGATGTTGGAAGAGGAGGTGGTGGAGGAGGTGCACCAGAATCCACAGGAGGGCTCAGGGCAGGCTCCAGTTTCTTCACACTCACACTCCCTTCAGTAGATGTATTTGAAGAAAGAGACGTGGACGACGAAGACATGGAGACTGAAGACAAAAGAGAGGACTTCCTTTCAGGCACTTTAGGCTTCAGCTTGGATTTCCCATTTCCTGATGATGCAGACTTTACAAGTACAGGCACTGGAGTAAGCGCAGTGGGTGTGTTGGACTGGCTGGAGTACCCACTCGATGGCGATGTGACTCGGTGGGATTTCTCCGGAGAAGCACTCTTTGGTTTGGCCAGTCCACTGGGCACTTGTGGCACAGAAGCCCTTGAGCCATCACTGAAGTGGCTGATGCTGTAATCGCTGAGAGCAGATGAAGTACTGGCAGAATGGGTCACGGGAGATTTCACCTGGTCATCTGCCACCGCAGCATAGTCACTGTAGTAACCCCACTGGTCAGCATACTCTGACTTTATGCTACTTGTTTCACTCTGGGAGGGAGTGACTGTGCAGATGGAGTAGAGGTTTGGAGCAGTGGTGGACATCATGCTGCTGCTCGCACTGACCGAGCTTTGGCTGCGTGAGCGCAACACCCAGGGATCCTCATAATCACTGCAGGGGCTCTGGGAAGGGGAGCTGCCATTTTTGCACTTGAGATTCAGCTGAAGAGAATGCTGGAGAGTGGCAATGAGGGTTTCATCGAGTATCTGTCCATTGGATTGGGCTTTTTTCTTAGGCATCCTTCTGAGTGAGTCTGTTCTGGATGGTGGCAAAGGTGGCTTCTTTGCCTTTTTCAGTGAGATGTTTCTTGCAAGGGATTTGTCACCTTGGCCTAAGTGGTCATCCTGAAGTTTCTTCTCCTTTCCTTCAAAGACATTTATCACGCTGTCTCTGGGGTTCTCAAAACCATTACTACTGTTGCATGGCATGTCTGCCTTCAATCCAGAGTCCATATGCATGGAGCCATAATAGCCATCATGGTCCACAGAATACAGGGAAGTAGAATCCTCCCTGACTGACGTCCTCTCCAGGCTACTGCTGCTCAGGTTGCTACGGGGCGTGGCACAGCCTGGTGTCGTACAAACCACCTTGCGTGAAGGGGTCTCGCTGCTCTCTGAAGACTTGTACAACCAATGCTCCGTGCTGCTCACTGCTGCCTGTGCTCGCTCCCCAGAATAGCTGGATTCGCTCCGACCATCGCTGTCCTGGGAAGGGCTTGCTAAAGCAGCAGTGTTCCTGCAGCTGTAGCTCATGCTCTGCGACCCAGCCTCTGCATTCCCAGGAGTGCTTAGAGAGACAGCAGAGTCACCAAGAGAAAGCATCATGACCGTGTTAGATGGGATGGTATCTGAAGTCTGCGAGTGACGTGTGGAGCTACTCTCACTCCAGTTACCACTTGAAGAATGGTGATCTTCTTTCCCACTTACTGCACTGCTGGCAGCAGGATTGTCTCTTGGATTTGGAAAGGCAGTGGAGCTGGACATTTTACTATCCAATGATCCAACACTCTGGGCAGCATGAATAAGGATAACTTCTGAGGAGGATGACAGTGTTGCATTGGGTATGATGCTTGTTGAGTAAGTGGCATGAGGAGAGACCACACATGCTGGGCTTGAGGACTTCTCGCTGTCACAGCTTCTCACCTCTTGGGACTTCGGCCTTGACGGGGTCCCCATCGTGGGATTACTCCTCAGATGCACAACACTATCATCCACTTGCAATTTACTTATCTGGTGGGGTAAAGTGCCAGCAATGTCTTCTGTCTGTCTTGACATCATGCTCTGTGTCTCATCTAGGGACTGCAGAGACACCCTCGCACCAACCCGAGGCAAGCTGTGAAAACCTATGTCGTTATTTTGGCGAGAAGCAAATATAACTGCAGCAGAATCACTCATCACCGACATGTTTCCAGAGGAGCTGGAGAACTGGGACATCTGGGCTGCAATGCCTTGTCCTTTTTGTGCTCGTATTCTTCTCATTGAAGGGGGCACAACTTTAACTTCCTCCGTCTGGCAGCTGGTGTCCTTGGTTTCAGAGCGCTGCATGGCGGAGCGATAGCTGTCTAGTCTCCCTAGCGTGGAACAGTGATCTGGGACATACATGGAATGCCCTCGGAAATCACTTTGGCCAGTACCAACTGCTGGAGTCAAAAATAAAATAATTATTTCCTGAAGCGCTAATTCACATTTATCTTCTCACTCATTTAAAAAATACAGCAACCCAGCAAACTGCTCGATCCCCATGCTCCTGCAGGTTTATGCCTTCTGAAGAAGAATCTGCAACAATGGATTTTGCAGAGCCATCGTCTGTTTTCTGCATTTCTCTTCCCTTTTTCCTTATTACCAGGAACCTTCTGCTTACAGAATCGCCTGTGTTCCTGCTGCACATTCGACACATGAAATCCTCTGTTTATGACATGGTAATAATTTCCATAGTAATCAGTTGTGTCAGAAACCAAGTAGTACTGTTTGACTTCCAGCAGGCAACGCAGCAGGAACAGACAAAAGCCTGAGAAACGTGAAGTGTGTTCCCATGCTAATGCCTCATGCAATAAAGAAAAGGGGAAGGAAATCTGGAGACTAATATGAATAAAAGGATCTACTTTTTACAAGCATTACACTTCAGAAAAAAATGTTTCAGGAGACACAGATAGCTCTCCAAGTCCTGCATTTGTCTGAAAGAATGCTAACACATGGAAACATGCATTGTTTTACCACAAGTAATACATACACTGTAACAGCATTCATATAAGCATTATCCAACACTGCAAAGAAAACCATCAGGTAACATTTCTCCATACAACTACTTTCTATTTATCATAAAGGAAAAACAGTAAGAACTGGGGAAAAGAAACAGCTGGTATTGATGATTGTCTCATCCTCAGCACCATCAGGAAATAAAAAAATAACCACTTTTTCTAAAAGAAGGAATGATCACATATTGGCATAACTCCTCCCAACCCCCAACTTTGAAGACAATGGAAATCAGTTTTAGTTCAATATATAGTTATCACTGGGTCAACAGAAAGGATTTTAGGGCTCTTTTAAATTTACAATTTTATTGGTAGCTGCATTTTAAAATCACAAAGCAGAGGACTGCTTTAAAATTAGTCTGTGTAAGGCTGTTGCTTTTGAATTCAGTTGCATTGCTGTATAAATAGCAAGAGAGAGGCAGGCATGCTGCTGGAGATGCTGGTAAGGATGCGACACATATGTCACTGTGGGGGAGAACTGGTTATTTATATGGTTATAAGTCTCTGCCTTAGTGAGTCTCAGGAGGAATAAAGTAGCATGCCTGAAAGGAATGTTCTCCTTTCATATTTACTATATGAAACTGCATTGGGAGGATAGGTATTCTTATCATGCAGCTTTAAAAACACCACCCAAAGGACATTTAATCATCCTCATTCTTGGCAGGCAAAAGAGGCATTTAGGGTAAGGAAAAGAGGGCTCTGAAAAGGCTACAGTTAAAGCAGCACACACAAAAAAGATTGTTTACTTCTTTTCCTCAGGCATGTAAGTAGTCTTTCAGCAGCTTGAAGCCTAGTTAGCTTGCTTTGTGAAAATTCTCTTGCTCTCATAAAAATGCAGCCTCTTTCTGCTTCTGGTAGATGTTTGCTGCAAAGCTAGATACTCAGATGCTGGCAAATGTCTTGGATAATCTAATATGAGATATTGTCAGAACAGATGGACTACTGCAGCCAACCAAGAGAGAGATCTGCATATTCTGTATACAGTTATCGAACTGTACAGTAAGAAAAATAATCATCCTTTCCAGGTATATTTTTTTCTATGGAATCAGTGCACCCCTTTGGTTAAGACAGAGAAAAGTATCAAAACAGATGTTACAAATGTTTCTGGAACCATGACATAAACAATTCTAACTGTCGGTCAATTAAAAATATCTGGTAACAAAAATCTGCATGCCAAGACATGTAAATAACCAAAGAGATGGGTATTTTTCTTCTTCTGCCACAGTGAAACACACACACACACACACAAACACATACAGATGAGACAAGAGGATTGTGCTGGTGGAGAATTTGTCATGCTGTCAGCATGACAGCAAGTATCTAATACTGTCACACACTGACCTGTGGCTGAGAGCATGTGTATGTGGTATGTCTGTACTGTATTCACAGAGGAAGCTAAATGCACCCTCATTCACAAGTAGTATAATGCAGATGGGTGGTTTATGTCTGTTCAAAATGTTACTGCTAGAGAAGGTAAATGGCGAAGTGAATCAATGCTGGACTTGCTAACCTCACCTTCTCCTTCCAAAATAAGGAGAGTTAGATTCATTTATTGGGACATGGGACTGTTTATTGGGACTGTTCATGGCAAATGCACAGTGATATCTGAAAAAGAAAATTAATGGCACTGAATAGAAAAGGCCATTGGATAAAGGAGGCCACTGATGGCTATACCAAAATGCCTGGTGCAGCATCTCCTGCCCCTTCCCTTGGGACACACCCCAACAGAGCCTGGGCACTGCTGGCTGCCCCAGCCAGAGCAGCACACTAACAAGAGGGCAGCATCCACAATCAGGTGCAGGATGCTGCTGAGAACCAGTGCTTACCCGGGTTTGTTACCAGAATAGATGTCAATTATGGTCCAGCCTAATATGCTCTGGGCAACTGCGTAAATTGACTCAACAGCAGCAAATGTTCCCAACCTTAATACTGCAGGGAAGCCCATCAGAGCAAGTCTTTGCACTGGTGTGAAGACTGGCCTCTTCTAGTTTGAATGATTCAGAGCCCAAATAAACACAGGATTATGGAGGGCAAGACAGCTCAGCCTCAGACATATGAACTACAGGGCAACATTCTTACATCGCTCTATGGGCTATGATCAGGGAAGGAATTTTTCATTCTTGTTACTATTACAGGAACATAACTTTGAGGTTTTAAATTTGGGTTTTTTTTAGAAAAGCAGCATATTCTGAAACTCTATCAGCTTTGGTTTTGGCTTTACATGTATGCACAATCTCATGCAAAGCTGTGAGGATTTAGTCTTTTTATAGTTCTGTTTTCTGAAGAGGGACAACAGAAATCTGCAGGGAAAATGGTTCAAAAAACCAACCAGAGGAACATTTAAGACTCAGGTATACTGGTAAAATGCTGAGGTGTTTATGATTTTGGTGAAATTCATAGGACGGTAGCAAGGAGTATTTTATTTGCAATTTACAAATGCACTGTAAAACCCTCACTCCCAGAGTAATACTGGAAAGTAATGATTTTCAAACCCCCTTAAAATCTTTGTTGGTACTACAGCTAGAAGACAATCCCACTCTAAGGGACAGCTTAAGCCTTTGACTAAGTACACTGATAATGCTAGGTCTGTCAGAAAATACCTACTTAAATAAATAGCAGTCAGAAGATAGAAGATATCTCCAACACCAAGATCCTTGAACAGAATGAGATCTTTTAAAGAATACCATCCATAAGTCCTTCTAGTTGCAGGGACAATGTGTGAGCAGACAGTAGCAAAAAATGCTGCAGAACCAGACATCAGGTTACAGATGCTGAACATTATGAAGTCAGAAGTAGCTGCAAACTGGGTGCATGATAGATGTGGCTGAAAGTAACAATTATCCTGTCTGCCTTTTGCATTATCCTGCATCCAGCAGCACTGCAGTCAGTGCTATGTCCACCACAGGAGACCTGTATCTATGCTCTTTTCTTTTTCATTACCCTACTATGCTGCAAATCTCTCCTAATTAGGGCAAATGCTCTTCACTCATGTGCATGTTTAGTGCAGGCTCCAGCAGCTAGTAAAGAACACCCACTCTGTGGACTCTGGTAGTCACTGGTGTTGCTCATTAGAGAGGACAGGGATCGAGAATGACAAATTTGATGGGTAAGCAAGTGTGTCTGTATATAATCCCTGGGGCCTAGATACTAGCAGCCCTGCTGTGACTCCAGCTGATCTGGTGGCACCAGCAGCTTGTTGCAGAGAATCACATGAAAGGTCCTCTGCATTGAAATGAGCATGGGAAACTGAGGGTTTGAAAACATAAACAGCGTGTGTGTTGGTGTCACAAAGCAGATGCCTGTTTCAACGAGAACAAAGAAGTAGTCTCTGTTACCTTCTGACTAACCATTTCTAATGTAAGCACTCCCCTCTTATGCCACAGGCACATTCCTAAGGTGTGTTGCTCTCACTGCCTCCTCATGCCCCACCAAGCAATCCTCCTGCAAACCTGGTAAACTGGCTAAGTCACTGTGCAGGCACCACAGTTTAGTGCTACAAAAAAACCCCAGAGATTCTTATTTTGTTCTACTCCAGCAATTAGAAACTGAGTGATTTTAACAGACACTCAACAAGAAACAGACAAGTACACTGGGCTTATGGCAATTTTAAGGAATTTTCACTGTGCTCCATGAAGCATCTGTAATCTCTCAGAGGGGAAGAAAAATATTGCAGTGAATCCTGTGAAACTTTTCAGTACTGCCAGCTAAAAAAAATCCTGAATATTTGCACATATCACTGCCACCCTGAGGGCAAGAATTCTGATGTAAATATTAGGAATTCAAGTTTTCTTGATTCTGATTGTTTCTCTAACCGAACAGTCTCTGGTGAAATTTATATTCTTGGCATCTGTGTTTTTCATCCTCAGTATCAAAAAGCAGATTATACCTGCTTTCTAACATCTGATATATAGATGGACAGTGCTGGAAACATACAATCGTGAGAAACTACAGGTAGAAACCCAGCGTTAGTCAAAACTATATATATAACAATAACTTTGAAACAGAGATATTCTCTCCAAAGACTGCTAAAGTTCCAAACAGAAGCAGGTGCAGTATTACTTGACTGGAACAGCTGGGTATTTGTGTGGTATTTCTGTAGGACCAATGGGTATATCTGGGACTTTTCTTACCCATGAGACCTGTAACTTGAGTGACTGCTAGCCCTGGAGGGAACTAACTGGAGAAGACCATCAATTAAGAGGCGTTTTTAATAGAACAGCTGAGTTTCCAAAGATCTGAAGGACTCATTTGCCCCCATATTGCTGAGATGGAATTGCTTCTTCTCAGGCATGTCAACAGAGAGCTTCAACAGTCCCAAATGACACCTGAGACACCAACTGGTACCGCCAGGGGTCTGAGCTGCACAGCAAGAAAGAAATGAAGGACTGACAGTTGAGGTGTCAGTCATTTCCATCCCAATGACTGACATGACATCCTATAGGTGAAAGGGAGCTACTGAAAAAGTGAGGTAGGAAAATAAGCTGAAAAAACTGTGTGAAGTCATTCTGACTCTTTGAACCTTTAGGTCAAGAAGGGGGAAAAAAAGGTACATGGGGCAAGAAAATCACAGAACCAAAAAGATTATGAATTGCATTTGTAAGATGGAAAAAAAGGATTTAAATAATCCAAAGGAAGTACACACAAAGCATAAAATTAGAAGACATTTTTGGGTACCAAGAGGACAGAAACTTTTGGTTTTGGGAATAAAAAAAAACCCATCAAAATGCCTGTCAGAAGAAGGAGGAATAAAAAGGTGGAAAAGGTAAAGATATTTTCCTGTCCCCTGTTTTGGTTAGGTATGTTTATTAGGAACTGTGGTGGAACTGATAGTCAGGTCTGAGACTTGCTCCTCCTGCAAGACAGGGAAGGAGTCTGGGACACCAGAAGCTGCCCACTGGTGTCTGGGACTGCACTGGTGCAGAGCTCTGGAGAAACACTCACAACCAGGTAACTTGGAACTTCCACAAAAGAAAGTTAGTGTGAGCCAGACCCTAGAGCACTGACACAAAGAAGGGACCATGGAAAGGTGGAGAGAATTTTGCTGCCTTCACTTCCTCTGGAGAGCTGGAATGCGTGAAGGGAGCTGATGATAACCAAGATCCAATAAATAAGCAAAGCCAGTGACAGGTTCTTCCAGAGAGGCACTCATCTCTACTAAACTTCTGTTTGGGAATCATCTTGTCTGAGGGGGGAATACAGGTTTGCATATAAGGTACCATCTGAAGAAGACATCTAGAGACAATGGATAATGGCAACAGAGCAGAGAAACCAAGAGCACTTGAAGTAAAATGTCTCAAAGTTTATCGCTCTTTCTGCCGTTTTGACCCAACACTGACTCCATTAAATATGCATGTAATATTTATGTTCTGTAAGACAAGGAAGGTAATTCAGAAGTATGCAGAACTAATTCTTTTTCATTGCTGTGTTTGGCAGAGAGAAGAATGCTTTGCCTTCTCCTCTTACTTTGGTGTCACTCTGCTAAATAGTATTGAAAGGGTGCTGCAGTTAAAAAGCAACTTCAAAAAGGAACTGCCATCTCTAAACTGGTAGACACTTCACATTCTTACTGTGTTTCAGAATCCCATCTATCACATTGCATTTTATTTATGCAGAATTCTTAATGCAGAATTTTCCAGTCGACACAGAGAGACTGGTTCATCACTGGAAGACACCTGTGAAAACACAACAGCATTTCAATGCTAAAAAGCAGGAATGTTTAAAGATACTTTGAGCACACGGGTGAAGTTAATGTTTCCTTTCAGTATTGTCTGGCTAAGTTCTATGAGGGCACCACATCCAGTGAGCTCAGGCCAGCAGCCAGTGCAGGCTTTCTCTTCTGCCTGGTCTCCTGTTCCAAAGGACCCAAAGCAGCCAACGGAGAACCCCAGCAGCTTGGCCTCACAAAAGTTCTTCCAGGCTCTCTCACAAGAAATGAAAATAGTCTGAGCCTGGTTGAAGCTTTGAGGTTCTCTCAAGTTTCTGCTTCCTTCTGAAGGATAAACAAGAAGTTACAAGAATCTGCTGTATATGTTGGTTATTTAGCCTGCACGCAGCAACTCTGGTGTACCAAGGGATTTTAATCTTTGTACAAATATTATAGCCATTCACAGCAATGCTTTAGGGAAGAAACAAAGAGATTTATTCAGCTGAAACCACAGGGAGAATGTCAATAGGCATAATGCAATTGCTTGATTTGGAGTTTAGTCCGGATACTTGTTCTGATCCAATGAACTGTGGAATGTCTTAAAACAACTCCTTGTTTGTTTTGGGACAGCGTAAGAGAAATAGGGAATGGACTGCTACAGAAATATTTGGAGAGTGACAGGGGAGAAAAAGCAGAAAGAAAGTGCACTGAACAGGGATGGGGAGACGTGCAGCTATTCCCAGCTTTGCCAGCAGCCTCGTGGCTGACTGGCTAGGTCACTTCACTGCAGCATGTCTGGTTTCCCCAGGTATGAGATGAAGACACTATCACTCTTTTCTAGTGCACCTTCTGTCTTGTGATGGAAACCAACACACTAAGAGAATGGATACTGCTGTCACAGAGTACTCCTGGCATAAAATTTGCTCCCTGGAAGAGATACAACCACCATGGAAGTAACATGGAGCTCCTCAGACAACTTATGCCCTCAGGCAGATGGCTGAAGCCCTATGTGCCTGCAGGTTAGGGGTATGGGAATCATCCAGAGAGAGCTACTACAGCAGGATACTGCCAGTCCACAATTTAAAATAGAAGCCAAGGAAAACCTTCAAGCAATGCAACATGAAATGTGCTCAGCACAGACATGAAAGATGAAAATCAAGGTAAAAACTTGTCACCCTTAGTGAACAGATTGGCAAGTCATAAACTTCTTTGAAGGTATTAATTGAAGAATTCTTTATAGGATAGATGCCAACAGCATTCTCAGTTTACTCCACCAAATACAACTACAGTTGATGTTTTCAAGCATGAAACATCTTTTTGAAGTGGTCACAATGTAACCTTAACATTTTGGAAATGCTTTCTTGAGGCAGTGGATTCCCATGTCAGGGCAGTGTTTCATTACAGATGCTGAAGGAGCACAGTTCTACTCACAAACTTCTCTGCATGTAATTGTCTATTTCTTCCCTTTCTCTGTGCCTGACCCTCTAGCTCATTTCAAACTCATCCAAACAAGCCACAGATTTTTGCTTCTGTTTCTGAAAAACCCAGAAAAAAAACCAAGAACTGAAAACATAATTAAAAAAGAAATAGCTGCAACATGCAAGGTAGTAAAACTTACTGAAATCATCAATATATGAGATGATTTCACATATAAAGCACCAAAATGAAGTTCTGCCAGACTATTTTAAAATATATTCTTCCTCTACAGAGAGAAAAAAAAAAGGGGGGGGAGAATATTTTTATCTGTGAAGTTATAATCTGGGAAAAGCTGAAATAATTAAAAAAACCCCACAATTTAAATCAAAGAATTCTGCAAAAAGTGTCTGAAAGATCTGCCAAAATTCAGATTGCTTGATCAGCTTTGAATTCACATCTACTACCAAGTGGGAAGAAGATAGGTCACATTTACACCACCTCAGGGAGTCCTCCTTCTTAATAAATGCAACTTACCTGGGCTTATTAGCTTTTCCATATATTCTAAAGGAAGTTCCCTTTCCTTTAGAATATATGGAATAGCTAATAAACCCAGGTAAGTTACTCCAATCATGTAACACTGATACTTAAGGGGTTGCCAACACTGAACTGGAAAATAGGTTTTCCACTCTAGATGCAATCCTTGGCAGGTTCAGGAAGGCATCCATAAATTAATTTACTCCACTAATTACTCACAAGCCAAAACGTCCGCCCACTTCAGTTTTGCTTTGGTGAACATCCTGGAGAAGATGACCAAATGTGAAGGAAAGCATTAAAGTCCAGACACCTTACATCCCTGCAAGTTTTCATTGTACCAGTACACCATTTTCCAAACACCTTGTTCCCTTTAACAGATGGAAGTGAACAGATTAAAGGTCCCAGCTTCCCAATGCAGGAGGTGGCAAGGAGGCACACACATATTTGGAACTGAAATAGGCTATCAGACTGTATTTGGTTTCATGAGCACTGGTGATATTATTAGTCGAGTAATGATAAGCAGTGACAATGAACAGTGGATGGAATACAGTTCTGATGAGCCATACCTAGCTCCTTTTGTATGTTGTCAGGGATTCCTGTAATAGTCTTTCTCCTTTTGACTTTCTTCGGCCGTCTTACCACCGTGTCTGTGTAAATTAGAGACCGCCGAATGCTGGCCTGGCGGTCGAAATTCTCCCCTAATACATGGTAGAACAAGCAAAGCAACATTACTTCCAAGCACACTGACATCATGCACTTTCTTCCACTAGTTTTGTTGTAGAAATGGAAAAAAAGGCATTAATCAATGGTGTTAGCTTGGTCCTACAATGAAGGTTTACACTGAAGAAAGATACAACACACTGTCACAGTAAGGCTTTAGACAAAACTATCCATTACACAATACTGCATGTTTTAAAAGGAATTTTGAATTCTGAGCCAAACACAAATTTGGTGAGAGCAGCTTTAATTCCAAAAGCAAAGAGAATCCTTGCTTTTATTCGGCCCTTCATAGCTTTTTCTGTGGTTTTTTATTAATTTATTTTTAAGTAATGAGCTGCAGAAAAAGCAAATCTGCTCATGAAAATGAAAGATCACAATGGTTTATGCAGGAACAGACATTGCCATTGGCAACAGCTATTACGATGCCTTTGCACAGCTCCATCATTAATTCGCATGAGGCCCTTTTTTTCATTCCAAGTTCCTCTGAACCTGTCAAGTGTACTGCATTTCTGGTGTTGATCTTTTAGCACGAATACAAATAAGAACTACGGAGCACACAGAGATCAAACTGATCTCGTGGACTCATAAATATTTCAGGGCGAAAGCTGCTTAAAATTGAAACTTTACAGATGATTGTAAAAATATACAATGCCGAGAGCTAAAAAAAAGTGTAAGTGCACTTTGCCAGACAAAGCCTTATGATGACCATGTGCTGTATCATAATGGGACCCAGAAGCACCACTATCATAAAGAAGCTTTTCTTTAGGAATTCACTTTTGTTTAGAGGTTTATAATTTGGCCATTTCACTAGCAGTAAGATAAAGATTGCACTATAGATCACAAGTTAATTCTCTGCCACTTCTAAAACTTTAACAGCTACCCCCTGTAGCTCACATATAAGTTCCCTTTTTACAAGTTTAAGCATTTTAAAGCACTGCTCAATGTCCTTTAGATGATCCATTTAAAACTTAAAGGTGGGAAAACCTTGATATACATTGCACATGTTTTTTTCTATTTTATACTTTTTTTGAAAATTGATGACCAAATTATTTACCTCTAAAAAGTGATTAATGCACAGTAACTAATACATCATAAAAATTACCCCTGGCTGACTGCACATCAGTATGATGTGTGTCGTGCAAATAGCATAGAAAACCTCATGATCTCTATAACAGTTAAAGACACAGTCATGTATTCAAGTACAGCATGTGGACTTGTGAAAATGCAAGGAAAAAAATGCAGCATTTTCATTTACCATGTTGTAAATATAAAGACTCTGACTCTGTTTGACTGGAGCCTTGACCACAGGCCGCACTTTTGCCTAGTGGAATCCTTGCAGTTACAAAATGCCAGTTTCATTCAACTTTTGGATTGACTGAAGTCAGATTAAGGGAGGAGGCGAAGCCCATGGGAACTATAAAATTGAGAGCTATGGATCCCACTGGCTTAGAAGTCCTGAAATATTGAGACAGACTATTCACTGTCTTGGGCAGCACCATTATTAGGATGTTAGGACCCATATGGGCGAAAGTCAGGACATTAGGTTATCCTGTCCTGCAGGATGATAAACATAATTCTAAACACGTTATATAAATCCAACAGATTTGAAGGAGAAAGTTTTGCATCTCTGAATGTGTCTTTGTCAACTCAAAGGCTGACAATCATGCCTGAGATGGTGCATTACAAGAAAATTTTAATGTAGCTTTGAATGAAGCCTTGGAATAAAACATAAGTGGTAAGCAGAGGGTGCAAACAATGAGAGAGTCTTTTACATGAAGGCTCAGACAGCACAAACAGGATGGTCATGGAGAAATATTACTGTGTCAAATGATCCACAGTAACTTGTTCCAAATGAGCTACCTAAAAGCTAACTCAACCAATCCATCTTTAATGGCTTTTGATACACAAAGGCCATGATACAAATCTGCAGAATTTCAAAATAGCAACTTCAGTGAAATCCAACAAGCAAAATCAGAATGTCTCAGTCTTTTTTTCTTTCTTCACTGCCATCTTTTTCATTTTAGAAAGTATCGATATCAACAGTAAATTTATTTTACAGATTTAAGAATATTTTTCTCCTTCTCTTACAGGTTTGTAATGAATCATATAGGTATTCCTTAAATACTTTATTCAGTTGTCTCTCATGCAGTATACTCAGTTTCCCAGTTTCCTTGGATACACAGAAAATATTTAAGTGTGCACTTAAATCTCACTGAAGTCAGTCAAGCTGGACTCAACCAAATGCTTAAATATTTTGCAGGATCCAGCCTGGCACTGATCACCTCCACCATTACCAGACTCCTCCATCTGGAAAGAAAGTTAGTTCCAGAAAGCCCATGAGAACAGACACCATTATATATACATATATATCTTTTAACCCACAAGATATGTATATGTAAAGACTGGCCACCACGGAAAAATTCAGTCCAACCCCTTCCAGAATAAAGCTCAGCCCAGGCACTCCGAGACTGAAACTGCTTCCAAATCTGGATGTCTAGTCAGCAGCTTGTAAGCCTAATGCAATGCCCCTGCACCTTCAGGCTATCCAACAGATTTTTATGACTACTGTATTAGTTGCAATCTGTTCACCAAAGAGCCCTGAAAGCTGAACTCATGGAGCATTTATTGCACAGCCACGTGAGAGGCCTTTGTAGCAGAATCACCACTAATGCACTGCTGAAAACGTTATCAATTGTCAGCAGCCTCTTCAGAGGTTAACCTTTTATTTCATGCCAGGAGTAATAAAACGGAAGTTTTTTTGACCTCTCTTCTGGGAGAATTAGAAAAAGAGTGTGTGAAGGAAAAAGCCAAATCAAAACAAAAATCCTCAGTGGTTTGTTCTGTGTTATGTTGAACAATCGGCACCGGATTTCTTGTCAGTTTTTTCCTGCCTCGTGCAGTAACATAAGGAACTTCACAAAACAAAATTACTTGGTGAGTGGGAGAGAAGAGGAGGGGAGCAGATTGTGACTTTTTAAAAGGAACAAGGACAGCAGCTTTTTCTGTATGTTGTGTGTGGCTCACAAGCTTGCCTTGTTTCACAGTAGCAATACAATTATTTCAAGGGAAGGGGAATGGTGGATCCTGGAGACCAGATCACATGATGTAAAAGCAGTCTTCCTTTAATGCCCTCCCTTTTCTATCTCTTCCAACTACCATGTTTAAAAGGGAGTAAGTGCTCAATCACACACTCCAGAAAAGTGAGATATAATATGCATGTGCACCATTTCTATCACAAAAGTTGAGAATTGCTGAGTTTCCCGAGTCCTGGCTAAACAATCCAGTGGACACAAGCTTTGCTACACCAATCAAATTATGCAGGTTGAAGTCACAAGCATAATTTATCCAAACAAGGTAATGTTCCACATGATGCTGAATTAATTCTATGAGTTATTTGATCCCTTTACCTCATTTTTCTTCTCATCTGTTGACTTCTCCCATATCTTCTGCAGTACGCAGGGTCATTAAATCAAACAACAGATTACTGTTTCTCTAAGTAAACTGTGTTCCTGCTGTCACAGTATCTAAGCCCTACTCAAGCTTATTGATTATGTCCGATTATCTGTTGTTCCCGTAACTTGCCTTCTGCATCTGTACCCTAAATTCCCTAGATAATACCAACTGGCAAAGTGACATTTCAGGATTGCATGTATTTTCCTTTTATTAGTTTTCCAGAGGTGGGGTATTCATAATTTCATGTTATCTTCATCTGTTTACTTCAAATACTTTCTACTATCTAAGGAATAATTTGTTATTGATTTCTCAGAGTTTGCTGATGTTTGCTACAGCTGTCCTGTTCCTATACTACTAGATTATTTAAATACTATTAAATAATACTAATTAAAATGCTAGTTTATAAAAATACAGGTGAAAAAAAAGCATTGGTAGAAGGGAAAGAGAACCTAATTTACTTTCAAAACAGAACCAAACATTGCAAGCTATTGATTGTCAGAGTAAGCATGGAGTCAGAGCACGCCATATGGCATTTGAAATAAATTGGATATTGAATATCATCCTGGCTTTGGCAGGCAAGCAGTCAGTTATTTGAATTAACTAATAAGAGACAATCTTGATACTGTGCAGAAAAAAAGGGGTTATTAAACTGAAGTGATAATTCCATCTTTGACAGAAATTTTGTTTTACATACAATGAAGTATCTATTCAGCATTAGGCTTTAGGGTAATTTAACTTCCACAGAGTGAGAGTTCTGCAACTTAAAATCAAAGAGCATTTTCAAAATGAAGAGTTAATACACAGTTCATAACAAGAAGATGTGGACTACGGTTATGAAGGTATGTAACACCTTCATTAACTTAATAAATGTCTTACATAGAGTATTACTCAAAGGTGCTACCATCATTAATGTTTGCTGTTCTAACCCTACTCTCCCTTGACACCTAAAACTTTTGTTGCTGATAAAAATTAGACCCTAGAGCTTTTTTTCTTGATTTTTGTAACATTTAGTCTTTGGAACACAGAAGTTCCTGAATACCCCCTTAAATAAAATTCCTAGAAGAAAATCTTACAATATCATCAACACTGGATGAACATGATTTTCAAATACATATCCTCAGTGCAGTCCACAGCAAAACACTGCTATTTATCAGCCAAATTCTTGCACTTCGTGAATATCTAAAGCTGTTTCGAGCCCATATACTTTAACTATCTCCATTATTGACAATTTCAAGGGATTTTGATATTTTCTAGTTAAGTTCAGATTTAGACTATTAAATGCAAAATGGGTTTCATAGAAAGGTGTGGTAAGTAATTTAAAATTCATGCATTGAATAAATGAGTGTTGAAAGACTAGCCAACTGTACGGATCCCCTTTCATCTCTGCCCTCCCTCATCAGTGTAATGCAATTACTGAAATTAAAAGCCTACCAGTCACATTAATAGGAACCACATCTGTTTGGACGGCTTGTGCTTGTTGTCGCATTTTCTCTTCTGGCGTTGGCAGTGGGAGAGACTTAGTCCAGTTGGTTTGGGTGTTGATATCTGACAACTCATTTGTAGCTGGACTTTTAGGCCTTTTGATGGTAATAAGCTTTTCTTCTTCAGGGGGAGAGACAGGACACTACAAACAGAAATATATACAACACTGTGAGTTTACTACTAAAAAAAATAGGTAGGACTGTGGTATTACTAAGGTGTTGCTGCTGCAGTCAGCACTGATTGCTTGTGGAGCAAAACACACCCTCACAAATATCACACTTTGACCTACATAAAGGGAAGTTTTAAACATACACAAAAAATGCACAATAAAACATCTAGTTTGCATTTTTTCAAGACATTTGATTAGTCTAAGGAATATATACCAATGAAGGAGAAAGGAGTGGTGTTGCACATAGCAAAGCACAGTAACTAATTACACCTTACACACTGACACTGCAGCGATTTAACCCTTCTCTCCCTCCCTGCACCAAGGTTTGCCTTCCCTTCCCTTCCCCTCTCACTTCCCCATGCCCTATTAGAAGATGAGATTTGAGCACTTCTTTGTTCCAGTTGCACTAGGTTGTATGAATGTGTAAGGTCTCAGCAAGAATCGGGTTACCAAAAGACAGATTTTAGCAGAGCTCAGTAAAAGAACCAATCAGCACACTCCACAGAATCATCACCCATGGATCAGTGAAGTAAGCAAGTAATTTTGCTTTGGTCTTGGAGAAACTCATGCCACAGTTCAAGGGGTTACTCATTTTTCAGGGGTAAAGCACTTAATATTATTAGTAGCCACAGAGCAATAATTTTAAAAGTCAGTTCTTCTCAAAGTGGCATTTTGAGCTGCACTCAATTCCATGAAGTGTTTTATTTAAGAAAAAAAAAAAAAGAAACTAACCACAAAACCCAACCAATAAAACAAAAATCTTTCTGCACGAGAAAAACAGGTTGCAGCAGCTTGTGCAAATCCCTCCACCAAAGTTGTAAGCCAAAAAAAACATTTCCTTTTGGGAAGCAAATCTGTTTTCATTACTGGGTCTTTGCCTGCATGACAATAATGGCAGAGAAAGCCATGGAGCAGCTTTTTACTGACTGGACAGTACTTGTCTATCACTGGGGCTTCTAGCAGGTGGTCACAAACCCAAGTGAACCTGAGAGAGAGATTCCCCACTTCAGGGAATCCCAGAAACAGGATAGGAAGGAAAACCTGCAGGAAAACCAACCACAGTCTCCTTCTGCCCCCAGACAAAACAAAAAAGAGAACATGGAAGAAGAGGAGTTGCACAGCATTTGCAGCACTAGCAGAGATTTCTCTGCAACCTGCTGACTCCTCTGCTTCAGAGGAGTTTGCTTTGGGACCTTCCTCCCTACCACCAGACCAGAATTACCCCCCTCTTTTCTCTATTACACTCACCCTTTGGAAAGTCAAATACTACTCAGAACAGGGTTGTCAGCAGTGGGCCACTGCCTCTTCCCCCCTCAGTGCTGCACAGGCATGGAAGGAAACATCACAGCTATTTATAACAGATGGATTTTTTATTCTTGTGGGTGTTCAGAATAAGTGATCTGTTTTCTCTTGTACCTGAATGCTATACAAAAGACATGCTCAAATGCTGAGAGTTGCGCTGAATAAATGCTGCAACCTCTGTTTATCATTTCTGATTTTAATTTTCTTCCTGTTACTATGAGGAGTTCCCACTGTTTATAAATAAATAAATAAATAACCATTTATTTATTCTGTTATGCTTTGACTCTATATTCTTTAGGACAGAGTCCAACACTTTATTAAATAGAAAATAAAAATAAAAGCCACTTCCAGGCAAAAAGTAAGAGAAAAGTAGAAACTGTTCAAGCAACACTAAAAAAACATTTCAGGCAATGAAACCATTACTAATATTATACTGTGGTTTGGAACCACACTTCAAAACATGGGAGCTTTTCTTCAAGGAAATAATCAATTTCTGACATCCCTGAATTTTCTTCCTACAGAGGCTGTGGAAGGGATAGATACTGCTCTGTAGGTAAGGGCTCACTCAGCCCAGTGAAAGCCCTGGCAGTTCTATCAATACAACCTTCTTGGAGGACACCAGAACTTTTTCAGGCCTCTGCTGTTTCTAAAAGGCTCTAAACCCAAGTAATAATATGATGTGCTCATCTTTTTTCGAGAGTGTGTCCATACACTGTTTACATATATATACAGTGTGGGCACATATAGATGTACTTACAAACACAAGGACTTTCCCACCTCAAATTACCCAAATTCATAAACACTTTCATTAACTTAATAAATTTGGGACAGGCATGCCAATGAAGAAGGGAAAGCTGCCTCCAGGCCATGCTTCCCCCAGTTAGGTTTAAAAAGTGATTGAGAGAGAAAGAAAGGGTTTGTAAGGAACATGGCAGGGGGGTGACAGCCCATCTGCCACAGCTGGCATGTGTATATGCACTTGAAGGAGTAAGCTAGGGTTGAGGCAAAGAAGTGTTGCTTTCCCTGGTCCACAATGAGCTTTTGTCCACCTGAATCAGAGAGACCAAGAGAGACACCTCAAGCATAATTTTGCAGTTTGTTTGGGGTGAGGATAAGCACCAGCGACCTTCAAATACACTGCCTGCTTGATACCGTCAGCATCAGTGTCACCTTCAGACTGCACTTCAGTGCCAGGTCTCAGCTGTCATGCAGCAGTCTCCAAGGGCTACTCCAGTCCGTTAAGTGGCAGAGGTACTGGTTACAAAGCCATGCTTCCTTTCAAAGAAATTACCCAAGCCAAGCAGAACAGGTTTTTTATTATAGTACACAAACAGAAAAACTGAAGAAGTGAAGCATCTGCTACAAGGGAATCCTAATTTTTCAAAGAATGTGAAACATCAATCAGAAATTTTGTAGAATTAGAAGCTGAGAAAATTTGGGACAGATGGAGGAAGACAGACAGAAATAAGTCAGGTTATATGAGCAAATAACCAATGAAAAGCAACTGAAAACTCAATGGTGCAGATGAGCTCAAAGCAGTGTCTGTGAGAACAACCCACTGACACAGGACACATACACATACTTCTACAAAATAATTCAGTAGAAGAGATGGAAGTGGTTTTGGGTGTAGGAATAAGTGTTCACATTTCAACTGTAGGTACATTTTCCATGGCTCCTGAAGAAACATGACTGTCTCTACTTATATCCTTTTTTCCAAAGTGCTCTCAGTGATAATGGTATATGCATGACAAAGCTGTGCACAGCTTTATTACACATAGAGGAAGGCAGCAACTCATCTTTCAGCCTTCTTCAGACAGAAATTATTCACCTCTTTAATCAGGATGAAAATGAGATTTCCATATTTTTAGCAAACATTCCCAGATTTACAGCACAGAAGCTTGCTGGAAGATGCAATGAATTGCTCCTGTGTGACAGGAATGTCTTCTCTAGTCAGGTCTGCTACACTGGAATCAGAATGAGGCATAGCTGATCATAAACTCTATGTTCATAACTTGTCCCATTTTTAAAGCATCTCTGAGTCATAATAATTTTACTGCCAGTCTTAATGCCCAAATCCCTGGAAGGGTTGTTACGCTCATCTCCACAGGAAAATCTGTTGGAATTCATTCTTTTGCATGGACATGGTAAGGGGTAAAGGTGGGATGTGAAAGCAGCAGCCTTGGACCTTGCAGCGTTTCCACACACATGCAACTAGGGGGGAAAAGCATGAACCTTCAAATGGGAGTTAAAATAAGAACCCAGGAGAAAAATGGCCTATAAATATCCTATAGACAAGCTATATGGCTCAGTGAGCTGGAGCCTCTCCGACGCCTTGTTGACATATTGTCCCCCAGCCAACTCAGCTGCTGAGATACAACAAAAAAGTTTCACTATCTCAGCACTTTCATGCTATTTGAGAGGTCCCAGATGACAAATGAGTTTATGCTATGTATCTTGCAGCACTCTCTGCCTAAATAATCTGTTTATTTTAAATCTTTTTCATATAACAGGCGTTTATACTACAGTATCTAAAAAAAGATGGAACCTCCAGGAGAATTTAATCCATACAAATTTTACTTTTCAGCAAAGAGATTGCAAACTTCTAGTCATGCCATTTATCCTACTGTCTACTAAAATCACTTCTAAAATCATAATTTATCAGAAAAACAAAATAAATGAAAAAAAATCAGTGTTGCAGACAGCAGCCATATGAGTTCAGCTGTCTATTATATTTGCCAACATCCTATTTCTGCCTCCAGTGTCCTACTAGGTTTGATGGCTTCAAGAGCCATTTTTCCAACACCAAGGGATCAAGACAACCAATAACAGGGAAAAGAAACTCAAGACCCAAACCTAGCCAACTGAGAATGGCACCTCACATGCCTAATTCAACCCATGGGGTTTCACACTGTCTCATGGAACACTGCCAGATTATAAATTTACATGAATTTACACTTTAGATGAAATAGTCTTTGACTCTTTTTGGTGTCCTCTAGACCAAGGTCACCAGTCTAGTTCCCTCAGTTTTCAGAGACAATTCCATTTTATTACTTCTACACACACGTCTCCAGTTGCACTAGCCAGCACTGCTATTCTACTAAATTCTTCACTTCATAACCTTCACTGTGTCTCAGTAAGGAAAAGATTTTTTGTCAGTGAAATTAGTGACTATCAAACAAATTATCACCTTAACAAGCACCGCAGAAATGTTATTTTCTTCTTCCTCTACTCTGTTGTAATGGGATAAAAACCACAAGAAGATCTGTGCTGTTTGGAGCTCTAAAAGCCTATCTAGTATTTGCCTTAAGATAAAGACCAATGAATTGTATCAAGGTAAAATTTAAATCTGAGGATGCACAGAGCAGATTCTTTTCCTGAATATTCTCTCAGCATTGGATTGAGTCCTTGCCCTTCAAGAATGTACCCAGTTGCTTTCTAAACTCATGTAAACTTTCAGCATGCCCAATTTACCCCTTACCATGCACAGTCTGACTATGTGAAGAATTACCCTCTTTTCTTTGTTCAAAATTTTCTGTACTCACCTCCTTAATGCTTTGGCATTTCATGTATTATGAGCAGCTGTTTCAGCTCAGTAAATGGCACAGTATTTTAAAAAATCAAACCCCTGTAAATGATATAAAATACATGTGCTGCTTACAAGAGCAGTGCCATGCAGCTGCAGCAGAGGGGCAGGGAGGCCACCTGAAGACACCATCACCCAGAGGCATCTTCAGCTCTGACAGACCTTACACCTTGGGGCTTTTTAGGCATTCCTACCTCCAAAACTGAAGTGCCCAACTTTACCTCCTCTTAGCAGCAAGTAAAGTTTTGCATTAGACTTCCTCAAATCAATACAGTTAGAGCACTTGTTTCCACTTAAGATACTAAACAGTTTAGTGCAGAAATTGGAGAGATAACTAACAGTTCAGATGATCACAGTGGCAAAAATACACTCTCACTCCATCCCACACCCCCTGTCCTCCAATAAGGGAAGTTAAGTGTTTCTTCACCCAAAGCATAACTATCAAATCAAAGTTCCTAAGCCAAATGACATGATGTAGGGAAAAACACCATGAGTTTTGGGTGCACAAACATTTTCATAAATGGAATAAAGGAATAATATATGCAATACTGCATGCTTGGGAGCAGGTATTCTCTGTAGTTCACATTTATCATTCAAGAAAGACACATTCCTCCAAATTAGTAGAGTTTTTCCTTGGCTAATTAAAAGCCAATGAAGCATTGGGGAGGGGTTTCAAAGGAGACTAATGTTAACAGACAAAAAAGGGAATAAAAAACTCTGTGAACTAAGTAAATACAGGATACTGTACAGCAGACAAAAAGGAGTACAGAGGAACACAGAAGAAGCAAACCTGGCTTCTTTAATTTTTTTTTTCCCTAAGCAGAAAAAAGCAGCAGGTAACGACTGAAGGCTAAGAGCAGAAAAAGACTGCATATAGGCTAAATACTACAAGTAACATCAAGCTGCAGATATGGCAGCTGGATGGTCCCACTTGTGGGCAAAGTACCTTGTTTTTCCAGGGAACCAAGTTACAGCAGGCGCTAATGCAAGACTGAGAGATGCAGTCTAACAGACTAGACTGTTGAGTGAGACAAAAAGAAACAAAGAGAATGAGTGGTAAAAAGGGAAAGAAAAAGGAGTAAGAAAAAAACCACACAAAAGACAAATACAGTTAATATACACATGCATACATTTCAGAACATAAGGAGAACTGGAGTTTGAATGTGACATTTCAAAACATCTTTCACACTGGTAAAACAGAGTAACACTGAAGGACAGGAATAGCTCCCAAGCTCTGTCACAAACAGCAGCATGTAAGATACGAGAAAGGAGAAGACTGGTCACAGTATTGAGATGTAAAATCCAGGTAAACCAATTTAATCACCAACAAACTCAATTAGGATCAGTACTACACTGGAGCTTGGCCTGTGCTCCATTAATCTAACTTGTAAGAATCAACATTAAAAGGGCAGATCCAAACACTTTATTTTATATCAACTTCCACTCAGAGATTCCAGCTTTCTATGTTTTCTAATTTTGTTCATTCATTTTTGAGTTGGGCCTGCTTCTCCTTTGTGGTTTTCCTTTGGAACAGCACATGTTCTGCTTATCTTAGACATTTCCTAAGATGCTGAAACACAACGTGCTTGGTGGTGTGACTATTACCCTCTGCTGACAGACACCCACCTCCACAAAACCTGAAAGTGCTTGTGGATCGACACCTAACAATGGTTTCATATTGTCTCCACTGTAGACAGACAAGCAGAATATCTGGCTATGGTTTTTAGTTTTAGAAGCAGATTAAAAATAACAGGGAAAGCTGGTTTCCTTTGTGATATCACCCATTCTTTTTTGCTCTCAGTTGGCAATTATATCAACTGAGAAGTTTATGAACAGTAAAGAGGTATTCATCCACCCATCATTATTTTGCTGTTCTCAAATTTCAATTATTAAATACTGCATGCACAGAATTTAAATGTTGGCTTTTTTGCTTTAAATAGACAACAAAGCTTTCATCTAGCAATAAGGAGTTCACATTTTGAATCACAGGATTTTTGGTGACCCTAGTTCCACACTGTTACCGAAGAACTCTCCTGACAGCTGAAATATGACCCCCTCAAGGCATAAGACTTATTAGAATTACTTGGCTCTTTACCAGTAGGATAATAATTCAAGGTCAGAAATTTGTTGTGGTAAACATTCTAAAGAAAGTAAACAATCTTCTAAAGAAAGATTAAACATTTACAGCATTTAAAAATAAAAGTGCCAATTAAACAGAGATAGTGGTCAAAAAATTCCACAAAAGAAAGTTATACAATATTAATGGAGAATCATGCTACAGTTTACAAAAAATTTATGTCTTTGTGAGCTGGAAATAAGAGTGGCAGGGTTAAGGCTAAGGTTCTGAGATAATCAGTAACAGCCAAGACTGTCAGTTTGGCAGCTATCTTTCTCCACAGCTCTGAATCATCCTTTCAGCTACAATATTTAAAGGAACCTATTCCAATTTGAAATGGAAGTGCTATCCTATATTTAAAGCATACTTAGTTACATTAATTTTCTCCAGAATGCACAGAAATTGTTAGTAACACATTATGTTAACACTCAAAAAACCCTTAACCAAGAAAGGATGACAGCTCTCAGTCTCCAAGAATTCCCACCCATGCTTATATACTTTCATGCAAATTGTTTAAAGAAAAGTGTACTCCTATTTTTTAAATGTTACATTAGTTTTATGTGTGCAGATGGCTATATGCTGCACAGCACTGGCCAGGACAAGTTGATGGCATGTATGTATGCATTTATGTGCAGGACATTAATTAATAGCAACAAACAAGGTGTTAATACTTTCCCCATTGGAAATCATAATTCCAGTGATCTCAGCAAGGTTTTGCAAATTACCATTATAATGTATTCCACAGTATGAATGTGCTTTACATTCTCGGCTCACTGCCAGTACATACCACACACAGCTAAACAAGATGCTCTGACATTCCCTGCCAATACACAGATAAAATGCAATCACCACCTGGACAAGAGACTCTACATATTCCACAATACCTCTTATTATGTGACTAAAACCCATGGAGGATAAAACTCAAAAACACTGTATCTACTAAAGTGCATTCTCAGAGTCTGCACATTTTGCTGATAAAAGTTATTTGGTCCATATTACCACAAGGACATATGGTTTAGTAACAATTCAAAGAAATTAAACTGTGTTACAATCAAGGATATCCTCCCACTCTCGAAGCAAGAGCTGTTTTTGGCAAAGTATTCTAGAATATCTATCTTGAAAATGCTAGGAGCTCTGGCATTTCAGTTTTAGGCAGGCACACACCCCAGCAGTAACATCCTAAACCACTACACCACAGTCAGCTTTTCCTTCAGAGCCTACAGGCACCACAAAGGCAGAAGAGCAGAACTTTTCTTCTTCAGAACAGTAACACAACTTACTAGTTCTGTAATTGAAATCAATATAAATTGATGTACAAAGCAATATGGCTTCATAACTTTCTTAAAACTTGTGATCAACTGTTCCTTCTCTTTATTTTATTTATTTCTAGATTCTAAGAGTTGAGATGTGGGGATATAAGCATGAAAATCATGAAGTAAACTGAAAGAAAGGCAATAAACCCAACTTAGTGGACAATCTTCATTTTCTGGATTCCATTAGTAAACAGTTGTGATGCATTAGGACAAAGCCCCTACCTTACTGAATAACCACCTGCATTAGCAATTCGAAGTGTGCACCTATCCAAGTTACAATTCAAGTATGCTGATGGCTGCTGAATAGCTCTTCCTGCAATTTAGCAGCTACCCTTGCTGGAGTCTTCCCTCCAGAACATTACCAAACCCCTTCTTTCACACTCTGAACATGCCAGTGGGAGCTGTGTATCACTGCATGGGTAAAATTAGGAGTTTTAAGACACTATGAAATTCAGATGAACTACTGTCACTGCAATTCAAAGAAATAAACATCTTTGTGATCCTCTAAAAATCCTGCCTTAGTTGACCGATGTTATGGCAGGCAATTACACTGCACCACACAAGTATTTTTTCCAGCACTTTTCCCCCCACCATTACCTTTTGTTCAATTTCTTCATAATCATCCTGGTAGCTTCCACAGATTGCACTGGAGGATGAGGAGAAGGTGGGGCCCTGAGAGTAATACTGCGAGCTCCGGTAGCCATCCCGCCGCAGCTTGTCACACTCTGCCAAAAGGAAGAGAAACAGGAGGTTCAATCATGACAAGAGCCATTACTGCTTATGTTTGGTGTTCAATAGCATTTAAGTACTGAATGTTCTTCTGAAAAGGTTTACCATGCATTAACATTGCCTGCCCCCAGTGACAGAACCCAAGGGCACGTCCCTCATATTTGTATCTATATTTCCTCCTCCCTTCACATGTGTGACATACGTAAGCCCACAGAGAGTGTATTAACCCAGGCGATGGCAAGTGCTTTGGAAAGAAGGGGGAAAGAGATTTCTTTATTTATTTAAGTGAGGCCTGGCTCGGTGTCTTGACAGATGGCAGCATCTTGCAGGATGGGAGACGGATGCATGAGAGTAACTCCAGGGGTCTCATTTGCCGGGCCGGTAGACATCTATTATGTGCCTTACACTTGAAATGATGATGATGTTGCTCACTACTCAAGCACCATCTGCTAAATAACTTTGGCACTGACCACTTGTCTTGTCTTCCTGTCTGTGGAAGAGACCATTTACTGTGATTTTGGAGAGAGGAATGCAAATCACAGGGATCTCAAAATCTTGTGTTGCTACAGAGCACACGTAGTTTAATACTACAGAGTTTCTAAAGTTCAGAAAGCGTTCAGAGCAGACATGCATCCCCACTCACAATAGCCAAAATTCCAGCCAGCATAGCATCCCCCTCACCAAGTTTTCCACAATCATCCTCCTGTCTCCTAATTGATATTCAGTGTGATTGTGCTAAAGAATAACAGACGCCAGAGCATAAGGAAAAATTAAATGTTCAAGATGCAGCAACCAAACTCATTCGACCAGTTAGCTTTACACTTTCAAAGACAGATATCTAAATCTGTTGAAAGATGGTGAAAGGAAGAGAAAAATTAAGTATTTGGTGTATTTCCATTTAAGGAAGTGAAATTTCTGCACAATACATAAGCATTATCACAACACAAAGCACTTCTATCACCACTTGCTGGAGAAGGCCTTTCTGTGATTATATTATCTGTCTGCCTATCCTGATCTTCTGAATACTCCTTAAAATAGAAAAGATGCAGTGGTTATACCAAGGGCAAGGTTTTAGAGAGGCTTTTGCCTGGCAAACGATTAGGTGGACTTACAATGTGCACCTCCAGCATACATGACCTCTGTTATGCCCAGATGCTTCTGAGACTGAGGTCTGGAGGACTTGTGCTGACAGGTTAACTGATCTATAGGAACCACAGATCTGTGAGGATTTAATCAATAAGGACTCTCCTGTATCTGCACATGGACACTGAGGAGGCAAGCTTACACTCTGACAACCAGCCACTTCCATTGGTGCAGGACATATGTCCTTGCCTATGTATCCCTAATGTCTCCAGAAGGGCAGTATGACAGGAACCTTTCCTTCTCTCTCCATTCAAGGACCAGCAGCAGTGTGGGTTTTGAGATCCAAATCAATGGCTGTATCTGAAGATCAGAGGGCTGGAAACCCTGTTTACCCGTTCCACATGTGTGAGCATGCTGACATTGCGCACATCTGGCAAACTTCAGGAGGGGGCTGAAAAAATGACTGTCAGCAACCACAGCAAAGCAAATTCCTCCACCACCATTCCGAATTTGATACTGGATCCAGCCAGATCCAGCACATAACACACACAGATGTGAGCACCCTGATGGGTTGTTTGTTGGTTTCAGCTACAAATGAACAGGCTAAATGGACTGTGGCAGAGCAAGACAGCCCAAAGACTCCCATCAAGTTGTAGCACGGTTAACACGCAAAGTTGTCAACTTGGACACTGCGACTTTTACAGAGGAATCATTAATCACTGTCAACAAACATGAATACAACCTAAGGGGTGCACAAGAATGCCGTTATTTTTCCTCCCATTTTTGCACTGAGGCTTAGAGTCTTTGCTGGCCACTGCTGACACTTTCTGACATCAAACATCAAGGCACGCCCCAAAAAAAATCCTGTCGTGGTCTGACCTGGGCTAGATGCCCACCAAAGCTGCTCTATCACTCTCTTCCTCTGAAGAGAGCTGGGCAGGAGAGAGAAAATATAACAAAAGGCTCATGAACTGAGAAAAGGACAGGGAGAGATCACTCACCAGTTAAAACAACAGACAAAACAGTCTTGATTTAGGAGACTTGGTTGAATTTATTACCAATCAAAATAAGAGCATGATAATGAGAAGTAAAGCAAATCCTAAAAAACACACTCCACCCACTTCTCCCCTCATTCCCAGGCTTAACTTAATTCCCAACTGTCTACCTCCTCCGCACTCAGCAGTGCAGGGAGATGGAGAATGAGTGTTATGGTCAGTTGATCATGTTGCTCCTGCTGCTACTTCCTCCTCAGGGAGGTCATTCCCCTGCTTCAGTGTGGAGCTCCTTCCTTGGGAGACAGTCCTCTAAAAACTCTCCAATATGAACCCTTCCCATGAGCTACAATTCTTTACAAACTGCTCCAGGAGTGGTTCTCCCATGGGTGCAGTCCTTCAGGAACAGTCTGCTTCAGTGGGGGTTCCCTACTGTGGGTCAGAAGTCCTACCAGCAAATCTGCTCTTGCTTGGGCTTCTCTATCCATGGATTCCCAGGGCCTGTGAGGAGCCTGCTCCAGTGTGGGCTTCCCATGGAGTCACAGTTGTCACAGGACTCTTCTGGAGGTGACAGGCTCTTCTGGAGCATGACAGACAAATGCTCTAATATTAATTGTTTGACCTTATTTATTTTTCTAGCCAAGAAGGTGAAGATGATGGGTAGTGCACTTCATGAAGCCCAGAAAAGCTCCAAAAACTTAAGGAAATCAATGCTGAAGGTTCAATTCCATCAGAAGTTCAAGTGGAGTGCCAATAACAACCTGTCAGCTTATCAAGCTCACAACCTCCCACTGTCCACAACACAAAATCCATGTAACTTCAGAAGTTATTGCAGCAACATTGCTGATGAAGCCAAAATTGCCAAAAACTGCTAGGTACAACCAAGAAAAAGGTGGTTTGTCCCCAAGAACAGCTTTTTATGTACTGTAACTGTACATATTGCAGCACAGCAGGAAACACACTGTGGATGGCACCCAAGGCCAACAAACCTCACCGGAGGCTTTAGGCAGACATGTTTTACTTCATGTTGCAACAGCCTACATGCACAACACAAGGCCACACATTGCACCTGACTGAAGGTACTGCTGCTGCCGAACCAAGGGTGGCAACTGCTGTCTAAAACTTCTTCCAGCTAGAGGCTCCTCCCCTCCATCTCCTTACTCTTACTAGAGGTGCACACAGTGTTCTGTAATTAATGAGGTTCATATTTTTCAGATATAGGGGTTTTACTTTCGTAAAAAAAAAAAAACCAAAAAAAAACAAAACAAAAAAAAAACCAAAACAAACAAACAATGAAAACTTACTCTAGGAAACACTCCAGATACTTACTCTTGGAAAGCCTCCCTTCTTCCCAAAGGAACAGTATGTTGTGCTAGTCTGACAGCCCCAAACAGAGAAGAGCACTATACACTAAGTGAAAAAGTTCTTACGGTTATGCATGTTATTTCAGAGATGTCTGTACTGAAGCTGACAAGGTAACAGAAGGATCCATCCAGCTCCAGTTATTAAAAATCTTCATTTTAAAGAATGACAATACATTAGCACCAGTTGAATTGGGGACATACACTCTCTTGGCTGCCATTTCCCACATTATACAACATTCAAAACCATGCGCAGCGTTTCCGTATTTCCACCAAAGAACTGCCAGGTGGAACCCCAGGACACTGCATCAGGCAGGACACAAACACCCGCTCCTGAGGGTGTGCTCACCATTCCAAATCTGCAGCACATGCTGCAGGCAAGCTCCAAGTCATCATTTTCACATGAATCTGATCTGAAAAGTGCAACAACATGATTATGCCCCAGATGAACCAATTTTGCTTACACAAACATTAATTCCAGGAAAGTGTTAGTGCTTTGGCAATTACAATTGGTGGCTGCACTGGGTACTGGCACAACTCAAAAGTCTGAAGCTGCCTCCCTCCCCTTCATCTCCTGACTGATTGCTTCTGAGGCCAAGTGCACAGGGACATTGCCTGTCACCTTCTGCTGCCCAGCAAGTGCTTTTCTGGCTAGGTGAAACCATACATTTGTTCTTGTTTTCCTTCTATACTAGTGATACATTAAATTTCAGAACCTCCTCTGTATTAGAAGTACTGCTCAAAAATTACTGTCATTAGATTATATAATAATTTTTCTTTCCACTTACATGGTACAAGTGAAACCCTTCCTAAAAAATTAAATCTTTCCTGAAATTTTTCCTTATGTTTTGCTGTTCACAGGGTGGTTTTAGTTAAGCGTGAAGAAAGTGCGTGGGAAATACAGATGAAGCCCTTTTAAAGGCCCCTTCATCATTTCCACAGTTATTAGAACAGGCTTTGGGAGACACAACCAAAGCAAATGTGTTAAAGCTGTCAGTGCCCAATACAATCATGCCCAAGTCTCTGCTATATACCCAGATACTCATATATTTCCTTAGGATTGCAGTATTGCAGCCTTTGCCAAATCTTGGCATCAGACAGAAGCGTGCTGGGGACATGTCCTGTGCATCACTCATCTCTACTCTCTTCCCTTCTGCTAAATAAGCTGGGGAACAGGCAGGTACCTGCAGCAGCAAACTGAGAGCAAAGGCCCAACCAGCCATATGCAATTCTGCACCAGAATTTTGAGCCATGGCACTGAATTCAGCACTGTTGTGAATAACTCCGCCTCTCCATATAAAAGCTTACGGTCTTTGTGACAGACTGTCAGGCCAAGTGTATGAAAATACCTCTGAGGCCTCTCAGCCCAGATCTCTCTATTACATACAAGGAACTCATATGTGCCCCTGAGTCAGTAACACACACAAGTCTCAAACACAGAAGCAATTTCCTGCTTTTCCAACAACTGAAATCATATTCTCGCATGACAATTTGAGGCACAAATCACGGGAGTGAACAGAAGGCACAGCACTGATACCTCAGTAATTCGTCTGACATGGT